GACTTCAACTGACTTTGTTTAGTTTTTTGGGATGTCTAGATATAATGTCCTCATATATACCGACATTAGGTTTTAAAAAAAAAAGACATCTTAATTTTTAACAATATTGGGTGTTGTGCCGCGAACTATTGAGTACTCTATTGCTCTATCTTTGGAAATTCTATTCAATTTTATGCATGCAATTTCAATAGAAATTAAAAATACCATAACTTTAATTCTCAGGAATATAAATACTATTCGTTCAATAAATCGGGAGCTAGGAATGCCTGTAGACAGGTACACAATGATGGCACGATGGTGAGTACATATTTAAGTTTTCAAATTAAATTCAAATTATTGTACATTCTACTTTAAACTTGTCAGAAACCGTTATACTATTTAACTTTTTTTTTTTGCAGTGCCATTGGTGGGACTGAAGAAAATTTGAAAACCAGAAGTTTTGTGTCAAAATTAAAAGCAAAGTGGGAACGATTTATGTTTGATTTAACATTGAGGTAGATATAATTTTAACTTTGGTTAGTTCATGTATATATATATATATATATTCTTTGTTGTATTTATCTTATAAAACAACTTTGTGATCAGAACTGTGCATATTAATGGCCAATTTAAAAAAAAAATGCTAATAGCCAGTTGTGCATTTACAGACAAACTAGTAAATTTAAATAATGTCCAAATTATGCGACAATACGTTTAGGCCAGACTTTTATTATCCCTTGTTTCGCGAACCCGTCGAATGAACAGGAGCCGAAAATGAACCAAAAATAAAATTTTATTTCAGCGTCATTTCTCGCGCCTGCCGAATTGTAAGTGCAAAAAATTACTTACTTAACAAAAATTATTTTCGTGGGAGTATCATGATCAAAGTACCGAAGTCTCGCGCAGATGAGAAACAAGATTATACATGGAATAAAATTTTATTTCATTTCTTCTCTCCGATCAATGGTCTCACTTACAATTCTTTGAGAATCACACAAATCTAATGGAAAAAAAAGAATTAATTTTATTTTGTTTTCGTCCTCCTCAACAAATTTGCCTTATAAACACTCGAGAAACAAGGAATAAAAAATGTCTGGCCTTACCGTACAATAGTTATGACCATAAGCAATGTTTTGAACTGTGTATAGATCATATTTTATGTAGTAGGCACATATAGAACAAAAGACTAATAATTGAGCAGTAATGCAATTTTGACAAGCGTGTCACTTTAAATATGTTTTTTTTTTTCACGTAGACAAAATTAGAAATTTCTCAATAGTGTTGTGAATCTTTCTCTACAACCTTTACACAAATTCATGACCTTTATAACTAAGTCACCAATTAAAATTCTGACTGACTGACAATTTAAATGAAGTCTGACATTGGCTTATATATTATTACCGGTAGTTCCCTTTCGAACAGATTAAAATGAGAACTTATAATTCGGTGTATGTCCGTCTGTCTGTATGTCTGGAGTTGTATTTCAGAACGCTGTGAACCAAATCTGTTCATTTTTTGCATGTGTCTAGTACTTTATCTGGGACATATGCACATGCAGTGGTTTACTGATTGAATCCAAGATGGCAGACTGGCAACTTTTTCAAAATGGGGTATCTTATGCATGCTTTGTTAGTTTTTGTTCAAATTTGATACATACAATATACACGTTAGGATACATGTCTGACGACAATTAGTTTCACAATCGGATCAAAGGTGGTTGATGTACTTCCTACAATCTTGCTTTTTGACCTTTCATAATACTATATATCTGTACATGAGCCTGGACAAAGGAAATTCAATTTGGATACAAAAAATGCATGACCAGCATGTCCTGTTTAATTTTATTTCAATTTTGGAAGAGTCATTTATTTTTTGTTGATACTAGACCAGCCAATTATTCACTCTCAATTACTAACTATATATGCTCTCGGTCCATATAACTTTTTTTTGGCATGAATAACATTTCCCTTAATTCCAACGGGGACTATGTGATAAAAGGAGAAGTCTGGTCCAAAAAAGTGGGTAAAGTGTTATTTTCAGTACTGTTGCCATGACAGCTATTTTATATGCATGTTTGGCACCAGTACATGTATGCTACCATGTTCTAAACTCTCATACTGGTGAAAAGTTGAATATTCTGAGAATGTCCTTACATTTGCCGAGCCCTTTCATCTTGGAGTATTATGTTGTTAGCCTTGACTTTTCCTTTAACAATGACATGCATTCAATTTTTTCAGATCGGACAAACTCGTTCACTGGCTGTTTGTGTTTTATATTCGAACTTTACAGTACTTAGGAAGAGCACCAGCAGATCTGGGTGTGCTGAAGACATATCTACAACAGTCTTGAAATACAAATTTAGGTTTTACTAGTTAATGTATTTATCAGACATCATTTACTTTGATTGTAAAATACTGTTTTGTATTCAGTCAATAAATTGAAACTTTTATTATTTTGAACAATAGTTTGTTTTTTTGTGCTGTGGCATGGCAACATGGAACGCAGATTTTGTGTATATTATTTTGTCAAATCCAGTGAAAATGAATTTTTTGGATAATATCAGTGACAGTTTTTTTTTTTTTTTTTTTAAATAATGTGCCCGGCGACAGTTCTGGATATTAAATGTCACTCTTGTCTCTCCTGAGTTTTTGTATGTGTAAGTTGCAAGTGCTGACATATAGTGCATTTTTGCCACAGAAGTCATATTCATGTTTTGTGACTACACACATGACAGGACTGTGTGGCAGTTAATTTGTTGTAATATAGTCCACTATTAAATGCATGAATGAGTACCATGGTATGGTGCATCAAATGTTGATAAGCACATGTAATTAAGACTGAAAAAAAATGTGACAGTCTCTAAACTATGTAACACACTAAATGTAGGATACATTGGAAATCTATGGACTCGCTATAAATTAATAAATAAATAAACAACAACAACATGCATCTCATTTCCAGTAAGCCCCCAATCGAGGAGTGGTATATTATAAACATTCTATAACCAAACTATGTGGTCATTAGAAATATAATCATGTTTAAAAAAAATTACAAGATCAGTCACACAGTAGCACAACTGATTGGACGGGTGCAACCTTGGGCGGTCTTTCGTAGTTTGTTTTTTGTGACGATTCTGAGCGACACTGTGGATGCTGTGGAAACATCGATTCTAGTGACCCCAAGTTTGACCCCCACCCTCGATCATGAAGCAGTCACTCTCGGTACGGCTGTTGCTTCCGGGATCCAGACATCGGGATCCAAAGCAACACCGACTGCATAACTCTCCTAGTCCGGCAGAGTGGTGGACGCAGTGGAAACGCTCAGACGGTGTTGATGGGCGGACTTACAGAATAGAGGCCTAATTCCCTAGGGTGGGGCAATTTCATGCTTAACCCTTTCCGCTGGACCAAGCACTACCTGATTGATTGAGCGGTGTTTGAGACCGGAGCCGACAGAGTCTTGAGCCAAATCTCACGCCCGACCGGATCTCTCGCTTCCTCCCCAACCCTGGTACCAACAATTTTTGGTTTGGTGGGACGGGCAAAAGGGGATGGCTGCGTTCATGTAATATTTCGGCATTTCAGCCAGAAACAATCCACGCCCTGAGAGCAGCATGACAACACATTTTTTTGTGCCTCCAGTACTCTGAAGTCTCAAAGGCGGAACGCACCAGCCTCCTAGACCAGCAGACACAGCTATTGGTGGGACACCACAGGGCTACACGGGATATACTGCAGTGTCATCTGGCTTGTGTCAGTGGTCCCTCACAGGTTGGGAAGCGCACCTATTGAACGAACAAGCCCAAGGAATATGGCGCCTGCATTGAGTTCAGGACCGCCATATCAACTGGCTCGAACTGAAAGCAGTGCACTTAGCACTGATACACTTCCTACCCATAGTTCGAGGCCAGAGTCTTGCTTCACATGGATGTCACAGCAGTGGTCTCCTATAGCAACAGACCAGATCCCCATCGTTGTCAGGTCCAGCAGAGCAAATTCTTTTTTGGTACCTGGAATACAATGTGGAGCTAACCGCACACCACCTTCCAGGGGTGAGGCGGCTCCGTCTCTAGAACGCCGAGTGGTAGATAACCCAAAGGTTGGCCTCCAAACTGTTTCGGCGGTGGGACGGTCCAAAGTTAGTCCTATTCACCACACCCCAAAATGCCAAGCTCCCGACATACGTGACACTCCTGCTGACTCCAGGAGCCTGGGCTAGGGACACTTTGTCTATCCGTGCGCCCACATGGACGTGTACGCCTTTCCTCCCTTTCCGCTATTCGCTATTCACTGGGTACTGGAGAAACTTCAACAGGAGTGCACCTGCACTTTGATGTGGGAGGCACCCAACCGGCCAAGCATGGCCTGGTTTCCACTACTGTTGGAAATTATAGTCGAAACACCTGTGGTGCTTTCGGAATTTCCAACCGGATGGCGCACTGCCGTTGAGCCCAGCGGTGTACCACTTACATGCATCGAGGCTCTCAGTTGACTCGCTCAGGGTTTTTTCTGAGCGGTGTGCCAATGTCCTGGCCAGGGTGAACAGGGAGCGCACCAACACAGCCCATGACTCGAAATGGCGAGCATACACTGATTGGTGTAGTGGAAGGGGAGATTGATCCATGCCATCCCTCTGTTGGCCAGGTAGCTGACTTTTTGTCCATCTGTTTGATGAAATGGGCTTGTCCTATTCAGTGATCATTGGCTATGACCTTGTCACCCGCCATTGAGAATTCTCTGGGGACAAGGTTAGCCGGTTGTCCTACTATTAGGAGACTGTTTACTGCTTCCCATAATCAGAGTCTACAGAGACACCAAGTAGGAACGCTTGAGGTCTGTGCGATTGCTAACTCATTGGCTCTTGCGTCAGATGCATGTGTCAGATGCATGTGCAGGACAGGCTTCTGGAGAATGCAAAATGTCTTTACCACTACTACCTAAGAGATATCCAATCCATTGAGGAGGGTCTTTTTAGTGGGGGTCCCGTCGTAGTGGGTTAGGCTTTGGTTACTGAACCAGCCCGGATGACCTCAGGGATCCATGCACATAGGTGATAGAACAGTTTCGGCAGCACATTGTTGCAAACAGATTTCTCCCGTCAGCGCTCCTTGGAACTTTCCAGGTCTCGCTTTCTACCTTTTGAAAGCTAGTTACCCAAGAATTTGGGTTTTGGTCTGCTTTCTCAGGCATACCGAACCTCGTCACTGTTTCAGCATTTTGCTTTTGTTCCGGGGACGGCACTGGCAAGGTAGGACACTGTTTCTTCACTGGTCTCAACTAGGTGGTAGTCGTAAGTAGAGGGCATTATCCCGGACTGGGACACCCGTTTATCGTTTTCGGTTCGTTCGGAAAAAAACGCAACCTATTGGCGTCTGACTCTGCCTACAGTTCAAAATAGTCATTTAAACTGACCGGAGTGGAGTCTATGGTGGGTAATTGAACGTAGTGCATTTAGGCAGAGGGTT